TAAATGTAAAGAGAGAATTGGAGGAGACAAGATTTATAGTGGTTCGGTCAACTCGACCTACGTCCACTCTTGAATGACTTTCATTGTCGAGTACTTTATTAATTTAGGGGTATGGAGATAGAGAATACAAGCTTCAAGGGAGAATAGAGAATCAAGGAAGGTGTGGTGCCAGGCAATCAGTCTCATGCCCCTCAAGTGTTGATGGGGCGTGCAATTTATAGTAGTCCCCTAACAGATTGGGGCTACTTTACAACAACTAAAAGATTATTCTGGTGGAGCTCACGATTTCTTCTCAACGGGCGAGGAGGTTGGGGAGCTCTCCATGAGATGCGGTCAAAAATGACGTGAGAGTGGACCGTTTCCTTTGGTGGTGCAGATAGAACTTCCCATGCTCTCCCCCTTGATGACGTGGCTAAGCAAAGAGTCTAACTGGTCTTGGACTATATTGGGCTTGGTGAATTTTTCATGAGGTTGGGCTCCTCAATTGGGGTTGGACTTCTCACATAAATTGGGCTATTTTGGCTTGACCTATCATTTGCCCCCCAATGCCCCGTGTTCAAGTAAAACTTGGAGAATGAGGCATTGACTCTTCAATTGCATTTATTTATTTATTTTTATTTATTTATTTTTTTGGTGCAAACTTCCCAATGATTGGGGGCTCATTTGGAATGATCATGGAAATGACTTCCATGCTTGATGATTTGGTTTTCGTCCTCATCCTCTTGGAGATAAGGGTTCTCTCCATGGGGAGCAAGAGGAGGGGGAGGTGGAACTCCCTCATGTTGGGCTCCCCCAAGTGGGGCGCCTAGGCGTGGTGCTCCTTGGTGTCCAGGGCGTGGAGCTACTTGAGGTCCTACATGTTGTGCACCTTTGAATTGCTCCTCCTTGGGGTCCTCCAAGTTGTGCACCTCCGAGTTGTGCTCCTCCTTGGGGTCCTCCAAGTTGTGTACCTCCGAGTTGTGCTCCTCCTTGGGGTCCTCCATGTTGTGCACCTCCGTGTTGTGCTCCTCCTTGGGTCCTCCATGTTGTGCACCTCCAAGTTGTGCTCCTCCTTGTCCAGCAAGCATGAGTTGCAGTAACTGTTGATTTTTGGCCACCAGTTGCTGCATGGTCTCCAACATTTGTTGGGGATTCAGAGCTGGAGCATTCGGGACAGAGTTGGTAGGCGGAGGAGTAACCTCCTCCTCTCGTGGAGGATTGTTTTCAGGTTGGTTCATGGATCGAGTAGTGATCGTCATTAGTTCAGTGGATTTAATGTTCAGAAATGAGAATTTTATCGTTTCCCACAGACGGCGCCAAACTGATGATGCACAAAAATGGTTTTGAACACCACCTGTCAAGTGTAAATAATAAATGCAGTAAAAGTAAAGAGAGAATTGGAGGAGACAAGATTTATAGTGGTTTGGTCAACTCGACCTACGTCCACTCTTGAATGACTTTCGTTGTCGAGTACTTTATTAATTTAGGGGTATGGGGATAGAGAATACAAGTTTCGAGGGAGAATAGAGAATCAAGGAAGGTGTGGTGCCAGGCAATCAGTCTCATGCCCCTCAAGTGTTGATGGAGCGTACAATTTATAGTAGTCCCCTAACAGATTGGGGCTACTTTACAGCAACTAAAAGATTATTCTGGTGGAGCTCATGATTTCTTCTGAACGGGCGAGGAGGTTGGGGAGCTCTCCATGAGATGCAGTCAAAGATGACGTGAGAGTGAACCGTTTCCTTTGGTGGTGCAGATAGAACTTCTCATGCTCTCCCCTTTGATGACGTGGCTAAGCAAAGAGTCTAACTGGTCTTGGACTATATTGGGCTTGGTGGATTTTTCATGAGGTTGAGCTCATCAATTGGGGTTGGACTTCTCACATAAATTGGGCTATTTGGGCTTGACCCAAAAATATATATAGCAAACTCACAACAGAGAGATTCTTGAACTTAAACTCTATGATGTAGTCATTTTGGCAACAAGAATGACAAGATGAACTCTGTTAAGTCATTTAGGGACTTGCCGGAAGAGCCACATTTGCCTACACTAACCTTGACCTTTTCCTTCATATCAATCGCTCGTTGCCTCGTTTCCTCTCCTTCTTTTTCCACCAGAAGTCTTTTTATAGCTCTCTCGATCTCCTCTCTATCCGAGGCATGCTCCAACTCCAAACCAACCCTCAATACATGGCACAAATACCTTGTATTTACCCTTTGGTCCTCAAAACATGGCCGACATATCATTGGCACCCCCTCAAAAATACTTTCCAAGGTTGAATTCCATCCACAATGTCTCCAAAACCCTCCCACTGCATTGTGTGATATTACCTCCTTTTGTGGTGCCCATTTCACTATGCAACCTCTTTCTGCAATTATTTCTCGGAAACCTAGTGGTAGGAGGTCAACACCTTTTGCACCATGAATCGAGCCAAAACGAACCACCCGCAGGAATGGATGGTCACTGTTGGCTAGTCCCCAAGCTATCTCAATTAGCTCTTTCTCATCCATGGTCACTAAGCTTCCCAAACTAACATAAAGAACTGAGTTAGGAGCTTGTTTGTCAAGCCATGCAATACATTTGATGTCCTCTTGCAATAAGTTAGTGGATGATGAGGATGGAGCCATTTTGTGCAAAGGGCCTACTGAGAAGAATGGAACTTGACAATGTTTTTGGAGCTGGGCTAGCGATGAACACTCGAGGAAATCCATGGTGTTTAGGATGATGGCTGAAGTTTTTATATCACACACGATTTCACTAAGTTGTAGTAAATCATCCAAGGGCCCAAAATTAGAAATTGGTAGATCTTTAAACCTGAGGGGTTGAAGATTGCGCACAAGTTCCTGCAACATGAAATATGTGACACAAAGTGGTGGTGCAGTGTATCAGAGAATTGTGAACTGCTCAATTTCTACTTTGAAGCAAAGCTCTAGTTTAATTAGGTGTAGATAGTTACAAAATTTATCAAAAATCAGAAAACACAAAGGACTATTTTTGATAAATGAATTTTAAACCAAATTTCATTGTGTTCTATGACATACTGTTTGATCATCTCAGTTATCTATTTTGATTAAATTAGGATATGCATATACCTTGCAAGGGAATGTAACCTTGTGCTCGAAGTCGTGGAATGGCATGGAGAGATAGACATGTGGAAGCACTGCTGGTTCGCAACACGATGCCCGAAGGGTTTAGGTGATTGGCCACGATTTGTGTAACATACATGGATGCATCATAGATAATGCACGTGAGTCGATCCTGTTGCTCCATCATTTGTGTTAGATATTGGTTGGGTCATGGACCCGAATCGGGGCGTCCGTGGTGGGTTGACCCAAATTAAAGAATGCCCAAAGAGACATGTCTTTTGGTGATATCCTTTACCAAGAGGTATCCGTTACCAAAAGATATCCTTCACCCAAAATACATGTCTGTTAAATATTAACAGACATGTCCTTATATTATGAGTCTCTTAATGACACATATTGGTTGCCTATATAAACTTAAGGCAACCAATAGATGAGAGATCTCTAAAAAATAATAAAATGTTAAAGTCTTTTACTTTATTTCTCTCTCTCCGTACATATCATTGAATGACTTTTGTGCTGTGGAAACTTGGTGTTGATTCCTATTGTAACAACATTATACTGTTCGAGCAATCGAAGAAAAGATAATTTTCGGATTCTAGAGTATGTGGAACATACTTAAACAATCTTTAGGATTAAAGTGAACGATGTATGGCTTTGATCCTAGACTTTCACAATATGTTATACGATTACCAACATTGGTATCAGAGTTATTTAGGGTGTTCTTGTTAAAATCTATTATATGTGGTTTATAAATACATTTTTTCGAAACATTATAAATACGTTTTTTCACAAATGTTCCAAATGAACTTTAATGGGAGAATGGACAAACGGTCTGCGAATGCTTTTAAGTTTCAACACATAGTAACTCATATTCTTGAACAAAAATGAAAAGTTTCATAGAACAATCATTCAAAGAAATTTGACGGCGTCTTCGATTGGTCAGGCGTTGGCCTTGAAATTTCGGCATAGCAGACCATTGCATTCCTTTGTCCAGTAGTATAAAGAATTGTGTTGTTTCCAAATTATAAGAAATTGCCCTTGTCATGATGACGTAAGAAAAAAAAAACCACCAAGTGATTCTAGAGATATTTTACTAGAACACTTATGGTTTGTAGTTTCCATGTGTCTTTTGTTTAGTCAATTACCAAAACTTATATTTTATTTGTTTTCTATTTTTTTTTAAATTGAATTATATCAGTTTCTTATGTTAGTGATTGGATGTTTGATCATGGAAATATTAATAAAAAAAGGAAATATTAAGGAATAGGACATGGGAATTGATCATCGGTCTTGGTCCATGTATCTTTAGGAACAATTTTCCTAATAGTAGATTATTGAGTTTATTTTTCCTTGGTACCTATGGACCGCCACATTTGTTTATGAGATCGACCTTTGACTATTTAACATTTTTTTTACATGTTTTATATGCTTATAGCATTTATTTCGTTATTTAGGGTGATTTAAATATAATTTCATTTCCATTTAATTTTATTGAGAACATGCATGATATGAAATTAATTATGATTAGTATGTCTAGAGATACTAAATCTAGTGGGAGTTTATTTTGTTTGGTCTTAGGAAACCAATATTTTGCGCATTAATTAAATTAAGTGTTAATAATAATCGCCTGTGGCGCGGGAGATGATTGGGAATTTAGTGAATTTTCGATCACGCGACTTGTGAAAATTGTTAATACTTGAATTTAGTTTTTCGCAGCAAAATTACAGAATGTGTTGTGCTAATATCCCATACACATTGTCTATGCATGTAGATTAAATCATAATGACTACTAAAAACATAGTGGCTGAATTAACTAAGGGCAACAAATTGAACGGTGATAACTATGACATATAGCGTCGTAAGATTCAATTTGTTTTGTATGAGCAACAAATCTTGGATACCCTCGACTCTGTGCTGCCAGAGTCTAAGCGACCTCAGACCCGCCAAAAACAAGAGAATTACCAGTTTTGGCAGAATAAGGATCGACTTGCACGCTATACCATGCAAGCAAGCATGCAAGATAACCTTATCCCTAAATTTGAGAATTACTCCACAGCTCACGCCATGTGGAAGGCCCTCAAAGAGAAGTTTGGTATTACTTCTCTTGGTAGACTTCGTGGTTTGACCATGAGGTTTGACTCGTATCAAAAGAAACCAGAGAATACAATGAAACAACATCCGAGGGCTATGGCCACTATGATATGTGATTTAGGCATTGCTGGTCATGTGTTGACCAATGAACAACAAGTTCAAGCTGTACTTCACTCCCTTCCACTATCGTGGGAGCATATGAAAAGAAATATGATGAATAATGAGAGTGTGAAAACATTCAAGAATGTATCGCATTACCCTAAACTTGAGGCTGAGCACTTGGAGGCTACCAAAGGTGAGAGGAGCTCTTATGTGGCTAAAGTTGGCTTGCGCAAGACCTTCAGGTCCAAGCATAAGGGCGGTGGAAATAAGTCTGATGCTCAAACTGGGGCTGGTCATTCTAATTATAACAAGCAAAAGCGGGCTATAAGAGCTGGTAAGAAGAATAAATCCAACATGGTCTGCTATAACTACAACAAGAAAGGTCACTTCGCTCGTGAATGCACTGAGTCAAAGAAAGTACTCTCTAGTTCTGTCTCTCGCATTGACTGTTTAGTTACTAGTCAAGTTTTTGTTGCTCACTATCCTAATTCATGGATTGTAGACTCAGGAGCAACAAACCACATAACGAGATACAAATTCGAATTTGTGGAGTACCGTCGAGTTCCAACTAGAAGCAAACGAATTTACATGGGGAACAAGACCAGTATAGATGTGCTTGGAATTGGCACATACAAACTGGAATTGCGACACGGGTGCACTTTATACCTTCATGATGTATTATATGCTCCAGGAGTTCGACGAAATTTATTGTCAATTACTAGCTTAATGAGACTAGGTTTAATTTTTTGTTTTGAAGGCCAACATGTTGGCATTTATAGGAGAACTAAATTCTATGGATCTGGTTATATCACAGATTGTTTTATTGTATTAGATATTGACCATTCTAGTAATAAAATTTATTCTTATGTTACATCTATGGATAGTGTTGATTCTATTAGATGGCATGCTAGATTAGGTCATATTGGGCAAGACAGTATGAATAGATTAGCTAGAGAGGGACTTTTAGGCCCACTTGCTAAAATCAACTTGCCCACATGTGAAAATTGTCTCGCAGGTAAGACAACTAGAAAACCATTTGGTAAGGCCAAAAGAGCATCTATTCCATTGCGCTTAATACACTGATATATGTGGCCCAATGAATGTGAAGGCATGACAAGGTGCATCCTATTTTATCACTTTTATAGATGAATTTAAGCACTTCAGTCATGTCTATTTGATTTCTCACAAGTCCGAAGCATTGGATTGCTTCAAACGTTACATTAAAGAGGTTGAGAATCAACGAGACAATAACATTAACGTTCTTAGAACTGATCGAGGTTGCGAGCATCTATCTGAACAGTTTAAAGAGCTGTGTGAAGAAAAAGGAATAATCAGACAATTGACAATACCCGGCACTCCGCAACAAAATGGTGTAGCGGAGAGACGAAATAACACCTTGCTTGATATGGTTAGGTCTATGATGGCACAGGCTCATCTTCCGATTTCATATTGGGGAGATGTTTTATTGACTACTGCTCATATCCTTAACCGAGTGCCTTCTGAATCAATTCCTTCTACCCTATATGAGTTATGGACAAGCACAAAACCTGACTTAAATAATTTACCGTCACGGGGTTCAGCGGCTTATGTATACAATACTTCTCATAAATATGGGAAGTTAGGTCATAGAGAGAAGAAGTGTATCTTCATCTGCTATTCTGAACACTCTAAGGGCTATGTGTTTATAGGTGAACAACTAAATGGAAGGGTAATTGAAATTGAGTCACGAGATGCAATTTTCCTTAAAGAGAATTTCCCTAGCAAAGGAGATGTGTCTAAAGGAATAGAACTCTATGAGTTAGATGATCACCAAAGAGATATACTCAATAACCAAGTAGAGATCGAGAAAATAGTTTCATCACCTCCTAGGGACAGTGGAAGCGATATACTCAATGGTGAATCAGTTCCAATAGATGTAGATCCATACGACACCGAGTTACGTAGAAGCAAGCGTGAAACCATCCCTCGACGTCATTTTGAGATTGAAGGGGAAGCTTTCATGGTTGCACCACATGATGATGCCGAACCTAAAAATATTAAAGAGGCTCTATCATCACCTGTTAGTAATGTGTGGATAGCTGCAATGAATGACGAGATGGAGTCAATGAAGGCTAATCAAGTCTGGGACTTGGTTGACCTTCTGCCTGGGCACAAGGCCATTGGGAACAAATAGGTTCTCAAAATTATGAGCAAGGCGGATGGATCCATATGCAAAGAAATAAAACATTTTCACAACATTCAGTTTGATGTGTTAAATTGTATCATATTGTTTTATTATTATTTAATTATATGACATTGTTATTTATTTTCTTAATGTCACATCTTATTAGTGGTTCATGTTTTTGGAGATTGGCAGAGTATTTAGGAATGACTTATCAACGAAGCTTGTCTATGGGGAAGGAAAAAAAGAGCTATGACTTTGATATGTCGTTCTGGCAGTTGTGTTAATTCTGTGTATGACATGACCTTGCTTTCTGTTTATATTTCTTATCAAAATTTCATATCTTGATATAACCACAAAGGTCAGTTACACGATTATTATCCTATCATTAAGTTTCAATAATTTTATTTTTTGCATCATTTTTCTATATCTGTGTTATTTTCTCGTACACAATTGGCATTGAATTTATTTTTTATTTCTTTTCGGTGTTTTAGCATTTATATTGGATGATTTCTTTGACCACTAACTTACTCTTCATTTGGTTACTTTCCCCATGTCGGATTTAGGCCCTGTTTAGTTAAAAAACACAAATACACCAATGGATGTGATCTACTTACAAAAAGTTAAAAATAATGATTTGATTATAAGCAACACATCGAAAAATATTCGGCTAATTATATCTAATTCATCACTTTTA